ACATTTGTGCGCGCTGGAAGTTGAAAATAAAAAGCTAAAATAGCAGATAGTAAATTATTACTATTTATTCACATTGAATCTCTTTAGATTAATCTGTATTTGTGTTTCGATTGGAGCAGGTATTTGCCAGGGCTTACAATTTACGCACAAGTGGTTGTACACTAATCTTGGTTCAGACTTGTGGGTCGGCAGCTGATCCGTGGGATCCAGACGAGACGGGAGGAAAAACCAGAACAAGGCAAAGCAGGAATTTCTGGAGTTTCTTAAGGAAAAAATGACTAAACCTAATTACTCCGGCACCTATCATATGGTGGAGCAGGAGAATGTGGACGCCTACCTGACAGGTTTAGGTACCAGTCTTTATGCAGCACATTTTATAGTATTATTACCATCAAATGTTTAACGGGTAAAACCCTCTCATTTAACATTCATCTTTCATGCGTTTATCTTTAAATAATTGTTTATATGTTGACTGATTCATAATCTTCAGTGTCTGGTTTAGTGATGTGGACTATCTACATTTCCAGCAGCACATTAGTGCAATGAAATCACCACCTTTGACCCACTTACACCCTCACAAGTGTGTGTTCACTCCACCTGCAGTGTCTGAGGTAGAAAAGATCCCCCCATAAGTGTGGCTTACAAAATCTTTCCCTCTTTTCTCCCAGATGTTAATGTTGCTTTGAGGAAGATCGTGTGTATGTTGAAGCCCACTAAAGAGATCATCCATGACCCAGAGACAGGAGCCATGAAAATCAACACAATCACTACCTTCAAGAATTTCAGCATGGATTTTAATATTGGAAAAGAATTTACTGAGGACCTGAGGATAGTGGATGGCCGTACCTGTCAGGTGTGTGTTGTGTTTTTTCCAAAGTTTGCTTTGAAGGTTAGGTACTTGAGTAAAGTCTGTACACTTCCCGCTGGGATTATTCCATAACCACTCGTTGCTGTTTAAAAACCCAGAATAAGAAACATTCAGCTCCTTCCCAAGTAACCATTCAATGATGGGCTATGATGATATTCTTCAGCTGAATGCTAAACAGAGACGACTCATATCCCAGATTTATGAATTTATCAGTAACCTTAATCTGTGCTCCACTGACCGTCTGAGACTGGGACACTGACTTGGGGATAACTTTAACTGATGAGCCCTGGAACTCTGTCCTAAACTTGGTGCGCTAATCATCTGTCTTTGCTGGTGCAAAGTGTTCACTTAACTAATGCTAGATTAGTAAGGATTTATCCCAATGTTGACCCGAAATGTCCTCGGTGAGAGTCCAGACAGCAGATCTGACACACGTGTGTTGGTTGTGCCCGGGATTGCCCTCCTTATGGTGAGGAATTTTTAAAGCATTTGGTGAAATGTTTAAAATGTAATTTTAGGCGAGGTTTGTGCACATTTGCCAGCCAGGACTCGTGTTATTGTGGCTTTTACCACTTTGCTTGTAAAATGCTTGAGTTTTCAGAAGTGGGAAGTGTGTCATGGCCCAAACAGAGGAGGTTCCTCTGTTGTATTGATTTGATTTATTGATTTACTGATGCTCATCAGTCTGGAGAGGTTATAAAACCATCCTTAAAGAGTTTGTCTCGACAACAGTGACAGTGTTCAGGTTACTGAGTCTAACATCAGCAGAACATTAAACGGCGATAGAGTCCATCGTAGCAGCGCAAACTCGACCTGCAGATTGCTAAAGATCTCACTGGGAAACCAGAAGGCTGTTTGAACTCGAATTCATGTATAGATGATGCTGAAGTAGAACTTTTTTTTTTTAGTATGAAATAAGAAGTCGTGTGTTTGGACAAAGGAAATGGCGATGGTGGCGTCATGTTTTGGATCGGTTTTTGTGCATTTAGTCTTAAACAACTGGATGAATTCTGAATTACACCAGAAAAGTCTCAAGGAGGTGACAGGACCCCTGTCCGTGGATTAAATCTCAGGAGGAAATGGATCATAAAACAAAAACATCACCCCAAACTCACAAGTTGTTCCACCAAAGTGATGTTAAGGAGATCAAAGATGTTTTGGAAAGTCAAAGCCCAAACTATTATCTTTAAATGTTCTTTTTTTTTTTTTAGTTATTGCTGTCTACAGGGTGTCACATGATACAAAAGGTGCAAAGATACAAAAATATTGGATCATTTTTTATCAGGTCCAACTAATATATTCATGTAATTTTTAAACAAATATCTAAAATCTGATGTTTTTGGTCATATCTTTGAAAAAATGAAGTATATTTTAAAGGCTCCATGACCTTTCACGCATCACTGTATTAGTCTCCCCCCCCTTTTTTTGCTTTGCATAAAGCTTCTTGTCTCTGTGTGGCTGAGTGTTGTGTGAGCTACTTTACATGCTAATGTTTCACACTAACGGCATCTCTGTGGTTACACAGACTACAGTAGATTGGGACGGAGACAAGCTGGTTTGTGTACAGCGAGGCGAGAAAGAGGGACGAGGCTGGACACACTGGCTGGAGGGCGACAAGCTGCATTTGGTAAGGATGTACGAGGGGAAGAAGAGGCCAGTGCAGAGAGAAAGCAAGGAAGAGGGAAGAAGGAAAATGAAAGCTTAAAGGGAAGTGATGGAGAAATTGATATGCTAAATGAGGGAGGGTATTCAAATAAGGCAGGTTTTAGAAGTTATTCATTGGCTAATTCTGTTACTGTCTTTGTGAGAAAAGGTTTTTATTAAGAGGTCTGTGGAGTTTGTATGTGCCTAAAAGGGGAAAGTCCATCACCTAACAAAGGAGTACACACAAACTGAATGCACAAGTGCTACAGAAGCTCAGAGGCACATTTGTTCTAGAACAGTTAAAACTCATAGCTTATCTTTCATTGCTGGTTACGTTTTCAAACAGTCAGCATTCTCCCACTAAAAAGCTCTCACAAATTTAGAGAAAGTGTTGCCGATGCTAAACTCAATATGCTGGGGAATACCAGCGACGGTTTCAGAGGTTACACAAAGGGAACAGTGAGGGACTAATGAAGAGGTGGAGGAGGAAAGTGGGAGCGGGCTGAAAAGACCTGATGAATAGATGTGAAAGAGTGGAAGACGGATTATGAGGTCAAAGCATGAGCTGGTGAGGGGGGTGTTCTGGACAGAATCCCAAATGTTCTTGTTGCTTCTCACCATTCATTTACACCCTCTCACCTCATGTTTTTTTTTCCCTCTTCTTCTCCGTCTCTTCTCTGCAGGAAATGAGAGTTCAAGGCGTCGCAGCAAAGCAAGTCTTCAAGAAGGCTGAATGAAGTCACTGAAAATGTTTTACAGTCAATAGTCTCATTTTAAAGGTAGCCGGTACGAGAGTCGTGTATATAGCATTATTTATTAACAATATATTTGAAGTACAACAGCAAAACTGAATATTTGTGGAAAAAAACATTGTTCTGAGAGAAGAGAGTTGTAGAGCTTTTGTAAAGGTCTTTCCCTATGTTGCACAATCTTATAAAGAAGTGGTGCATCTGTCATGTTTCTTATTTTAAATGATAAGGTGTATGTGTGTGTGCGCGTACGTGCGTATGTGTGTGCGTGCGTGTTGCTGCATCTTCATATCTAAAGTGATTTTTATGCATTATTGCACTGGAACCCTGAACTTCTACAGAAATTACCAAATGGAAGTGCATGTGAAAACTGTCTGGAACAGTCGGATCGGACGCTAGCTGATCTTTAACCTCCGGCTTCCTGGTTCAAAGTCCGCGTGATGTCACATTGCGCCCGTGTGACAGTAGAACACCTAAATATGCATTCACTGCCAGTGAGTGGGCGTCATGCATCCTGCCTCCTGCACTCACTTTCAGCACTGCAAAGGCTGAAGAGGGGAAACTGGCGAGTACACACTCGCGCTCAGCAGAGTGACCATGCTCTCTGCTCAGCTGCACTCAATCAAGATGCCAGAGGAGGGCTGAGAGTCAGTAGTGTGTGAATGTATGCGTGATGAACTGAAAGGTTGCAAGAAGGCATCTGAATTAATTCAATGACTGCAGGTGCTATTTTATGCAAAATTTATTACAGAAAACATCAAAATTGCCATAAAGTGACTGCAAGCACAAAACTGAAAGGATCATACATCTTCAGCTTTTAAATACATCATGTCCTCCAAATGTTAGAGACGTATCTGAATAAATTTTATTTTTTCCCTTTAAAATGTCCAATTTTAGAACATGTTTCTTTTATTAGCATGAAGACAACATCTGTTGTGTTTGTTATAACCATTACGACATCACCTGTTTCCAAACTTCAGTGTTTTTGCTAGGGTGACCAGATGTCCCTTTTTTTTGTGGGACGCCGCAGCAGTTTTATGACATCTCCCACATACAGAAGCAAAGTCCCACATTTACACTGCACTTTCCTAAACTCTGTTTTGTTTTTTGGTAATTTTTTAGCCTTCCCTGAGTTTAAAGAACGCAGGGAAGGCTTTTTATTATATTTAACTGGAGGTTAGCAAGAAGTCACCAAAAAGTTAGCAGCTTGTTTAATCTGATGGAATCTACCACAAAGATAATGATTTGGCAGTTTATACTGAGAAATACAATTTTTGTCTCTTTAGATAAAATTATACTTCAATTTCTCAGATGGGGAAATATGGCACGAAGTGACACAGTGCATGTGTGTTATAATTGACTAGAAAAATCGTATTTTTTTTTAGATATAGCTAATATAAGAACATGAATCGTGAATACAGGGTTAAATAAGGACTACTGCATAACAGGTTAAGTTAGTTGGCCTTTACATGCTAGACTCATGTCTGATTTATTGTAAAAAAAAATTTAAGTTGGGCATCAGGTCACCCTAATCATAATTCTGATCATCACACAAGCCTAAGATGTAATATTTCCTTCAGTTGATTTGCTTGTTAAGGTCAGTTCTCCATTAGTAGTTTAACGTTTGGCACCTGCGCCATTTCTTCATCTTTTTTCCTCCATTATAAAAAGTACAGCATAAAAAAGTAAAAGCAAATAACTTTTATATTTTTCAATTGTTTCCTTTTTTAATGTTATACATAATTATTTTATTTTTTTAATGTTTTATATAATTACAACTACAAACTAGAAAATTACACTTAAAAAAATCACATTTATTCTAATTAATATCTAGAGACTCATTACCTCAAAATAAAATGCTTCTGTTCTGGAGGATACATTAAGGCTGAGACTGTTGGATTTTTATAATGTCACGTAGGTTGCATTTGTCAAGTCTTTCCATACTTAACAAGCTTGTAAACAATTTTAAGACAATTTTAACAGAAACATAGAAAAGCAAACAAACATAAAAATAATCTGCTCAGAAAAAAATTGCTAGCACCTTTAGACAAACGTGTCTGCTAAATAAATTTTTTCCCCTACTTGAAAGGATGATGCTTCTCTTTTCTCTCTTCCAGCTCAATCAGCTGTAACTGTTCAAACTTCTTTTATCTGAGAAGCTGCTTACAATGATGCTTTCAGACTTTCTCTTTCACTGTGAGCTGTCATTTCAGTGTTTAACTCAAATAACTTAAACCTCCTACTTTTAAAGCTTAAATTACAAATAAACTTGCAAACACCCTCACCATATGGTCCACATATGGTTAAGTGTCTGCCAAAGGTCATCTGCTCATGTCACAGCTGTTCCTCCACCCCTGACTTCTTCCTGGATGATGGAAGGGCTGGAAGAAAGGATGGCACAGAGCGGAGGAAAGAGAAATACGCTTTGAGGGCTCGTACTCCAGCATCCTCTCTAGGAGATCGAAAAAAAGGTGGTGTTCTCTCCCGTGTGATAACAAGTATTCCTGTAAAACAAGGAGGGAGACATTATATTCAAATGGTGGGCCCCGAGCAGATAATGCTTATCTGCGGTCCGCCTGCCCACGGCTCACCCTTAACGGCTTGCATTTGGATTTGACGTAGCGTCCGGCTTTGGAGCACTCGTTCCAGTCTAGATGCCCACGGTGGAAATACTTCTGCTTTCTGAGAATCAAAATGAAGAGTCGTCAGATCAAAGTGTTTCAGAGTTTGTGACAATGAGAGGGTGCACGAGCGGGATACCTGCTCCTCTGAATCATCCTCTGAGGAATCGGTCCCTGTACTCTCTCTATCATAGCAAGATGCTCCTTGTTGTCATGAGTCTGTAAGTGGACACAAGAGGAAGTAAAGACCATGACAAATAAAAAGACAAAGTTCGTCTTACTTTTATGTCGAATGTGTGACCTGGAAGAGTGTGAACCCTTTGTAGTATTCAAACAGGATGCAGCCGATGCTCCACACATCACACGGTTGACTCCAACCCAACTCTGTGGAAGAAGGAATAGCTTTGTTACCAACTGGACTGGGCAGGTCCTGGATACTCCCCGAGCTAAAATGACATTTCTTACCAAGTATGACCTCTGGGGCTCGGTAGTGACGAGTAGAGATGATGACAGAGTGGTGTTCGTGGTCAAAGGTGGCGCTGCCGAAGTCGACGAGCCGCACCGTGGTGTCGTTTACCCGCCTTTCATTGCACTTCTAAATGGGCGACAGGTGGAAACACTGTAAACCCTCCCAACTTCGCTCATTTAAAGTATAATCTTTGTATTTTCCTGCTATTGATGATGCTTTGATAAAAATGATAAAGAGCATTAGGCTTGAGCTAATGTGATGAAAATAACAAAAAGTTATGAACAATTTTACAATACTGCAACACGGTAGGACAAAACAAGAACGAGTCTATCAGATTAGAAAAACAGCAACAACAAAAACGCTACTATCGGCTGTTTCCATGTGGACAAGGGGTCACTGTAGCTGGTAGCTCTGCATGTTTGATTTGGTTGTGTTTTACAGCAGATACCCTTCGTGACACAGCCCCACCAGCAGATAAACCCCCTTAATCTCCCACTTCTTTTTTGGTTGGATTAAACTAATTAGATTAAACATCTCAATCAACTAACTGAATCAATGTCTCACAACGTCTCATTTAACCCAGTTAACCTTAAAAAACCCTGCTTGGTGGATTTAACTAATTCCAAGAAAGTCAACAAGCTTGTTCTCCCTTTTTTGCTAAATGCAACACTGTGTCTCCACTTTGGTCTTGTCTGTTCACAGGACATTGGTCCAGAAGCCATGTGATTTGTTCAGATGCAAACCAAGCCATGGTGCCGTCATAAAGTTTAATAAGCTTGGACATCCTGATTTAACAGGAAGCAGTAAGGGTGTATTTAGTTTTCGTTTTTATGTGGCTGTGAAAAACGAAGAAAAAGTGGAGATTCCCATAAATAAAAATTCAGCAATATGTCTCAGAGCTGCCACATATTTTCCTGCAAAGGTCAACAAACAAGCTGCAGCCTTCCTGGATAAATATGAGATTATAAAAAGCATACATGTGGGTGTCTGATTTCTGCTGAAACAAATTTGCACCCAAATGAAAAGCTGCATTTTTCTGCCATCATTAATCCCCGCTTTTTCTACCATCCCCTGAAGCGCTCAGCCATCACGCCTGCAGCCATTTCTGACCTTCTCGGCGTTGTATATGAGGGAGTAGTCCGAGTTGACGAAGAGGATGTTCTCAGGCTTCAGGTCAGTGTGAGTCAGCTTGTTGTCATGGAGAACTGCAGAGGAAACGGGAGGGAAGTTCAGATGAGGAAGTTCATCATGAGCAGACACCTCAAATGTGGTTGATTGTAGACAGCTGGATGTGACAGATTTACAGCAGCGAATTAAATGTTAGTAGATAGGATATTACAAAGATTATAAATCAGAAACCCGAATGAAGCCACTCTGTCTGATGAAGTGTTGGTTTAATTAAAGCAGAGGGACTCTTTGATGGTGTGATGCGTTCCAGCTGAGGAGTAACCTCCATGGCCGAAAACTGGACCCGAGGTGAAGCTGCCAAAAACTACAGCTTCTCTAATGGCCACTTGAGGCCAGTTCCAAAAGCAAGTCAATCCCCATGACCCCATGTGTTAAGACACATGTTTACAGTACAAAAAAAACCTTCGGCTGCTGTGGATAGTTTCCACTTTCATAACAACGCTATGGAGCTGACCTTTTTGTAATAACTCATCCACTTGGATACTAGAGTTAAGGATGTTGCTGCTTTGATTGGCAGGTCTCCCAACACATGCAGCTGGAGCAGAGTGGCATTTGAGTTTTTAAAAAAGCTTTTAAATAGAGAAATTTAATATTATTACATCCTGTGTGGTACAGCCCAGCTTCAGGTTTAGTTTGCAATATCTGTGCATTGCACGTGCATCTAAAAATGTGATACCTCTTGTCTCCAAAAAACGAAAAACAAAAACATTTCAATGACCAAAAAAGTAGCATTAAACTAATGTAAACCAATGTGTGAAGTCACAGTGGATGAACCCATCTTCTATAAAATCTGTGGTTGCAGCTCATCTTTTGTGCTGTTTATGTTTAAATATTTAGGAGTGCATGCTCTGCTTTTATTTTGGAGAATCGTAGGCCGTGGTTTACAGCATCCTGTCTCATTCTGAAGTTAATTTGCCAGCATGATATCAAGCAAATGATACCATGTTATGGCTACATAACAAATGGTTGTACTGAATATGAAATTAATATTTGATATGACTAAATTATAAATAGCAGACTTGTCTGAGATTTGCAAATGATTGCGTTCGGTTATTGACTAGAATTAATCACTGAATGATATCAATCATCGTGAATGACATCAATCACTCACTGCCCTAACTGCTCCTGCGTCTTGCTCTAATTTGCCGTGTTTAATCTACTTAGTCTCATCCCTGGCATTGATGCAGAAGTGCAGCAGAAAAGGGAAAGTGGTGCTGCACACTCTGTATGATGCATATTGGACTCACAGCTGACAGCGTGGCAGATCTGCTGGGCCATGTGTCGGATCTGGTTAATTGGATACGGCAGGAAGTTGTTTGATTTCAAGAAGTCAAATGTGCTGAGAGACAGCAGCTCAAAGGAGATGCACACATGGCCGTAGTAGTTAAACCAGTTGAGCATCTGCACGCAGTTACTGATGAGGAAGAGAAACAGAGGGTGAAACATAAAGCACATGAAACGGGTAACAGCGTTTCAATCACAGACTCACTGTTTGTTGTGCGGATCCTTCTCACTGATCTTCTCCAGGACGTTGATTTCCAATTTGGCTGCTTCTCTGTATTTGTCCTGGTTCTTAATGATCTTCAATGCAATTTGATTTCCTCCTCTGTTTTTAAACACTGTTTTTAAAATAAAAAATAAAAAAACCCACCCCCCACCCCCACACACACTGCACATTGATTCAACTTGAAACTTCTGATGAAAAACCTACCTGCTGTGGTCCACACACTGAACCACTTTCCCAAAGGTCCCCTCACCTAAAGTGTCGACTATCTCATCTGCAAGACAGATAAAGATCAGCTTAATGACGGAGCACCGTAACGAGGCTGCTTACTCTTCCTACATCTGTGCTGCAACCTACATCTGTCTTCAAGGACGTCACCACTTTTGTAGATCAGGTGACCATTTTCAGAGTCCCTCTCACTGTCATTTGCAGCCCGGTCGCTTCTTCTCTGCAAACAAAGTCAGCCACATTCATGACAAGGTGGAGCAAAAGATCAAAAAAACATCAACCTGCTTCTGTCACACCCCACCTAAAAACACACCGAGTAACATCTGACCTCTGGGTCTGTAAGGAGAAAGGTCACCAGCTGGACATACCCGTGCACTCAAGCTTGCATGGTTACAGAAGCTCACACAGCTTTGTGTACGTCCTCCTGCCGAGGCTGTCCTAACGCAGCCATGATTAATGCATTAAGGTTGATCTCAAAGACCTGAGCCTGCCCTAAAGGGGGCTCATAAGAAAATGCCAGATGACTCTCTTTGGAGGAGCTGAGGCTCTATTTCCATCCACATTCTGAGACTGTTATTAATATCAGAAGCTCAGCATGTGAGTAACTGACACTTAGCGCAGGACATGGGCCACTGACATACATAAACACAACCAATCTGCACATTCATTGTTAGAAAGCTGGTGATCTTTAAGAGATCAACACATAGTGCAGCTGGTTAAAAGTAAATCACACAGACTTAGAAAGAGACACAAAAACATGCTCAAAGAATGCAGATACTCACAGAAAGGCAGAGGCAAATACAGTCCAGAAAACCCTTAAACAGAGAATGCAGCTCTGTCTTTCCCATTGCACAGCAGTGCAGATCTACTCAGAGAAAAGACGAGCCTGAGTGGAAGAGAGGCGGATGGAGGGATGCTGCACGGGAGGTGAAGGCGAGATGAAGGTGAGGTAGCGGCAGGAACAAAAGGCGATGAGGAGATGTGGAGAGGAAAAGCGCCAAGGTCAGCACGATAAATAGTCAAGTAGCAGCACGGGAACAAACTGGAGGACGAGGAGTTGTGAAAAAGTAAAAAATAGCCTGCAGTGTTGTCAGCTGAAACCAGAAGTGAAAGGAAGACACGATGCCGAAGCTTCACCACAAAAGTGACAAAAGAAGAAAGAATATCTCAGGGAGAATAGAGAAAAAGTAAAAGGCAAACACTGAAAGTAAACGAACACGACAGCTGAAGCAGACAAACACAAAAAGTGAGGAACAGACGGACAGAGAGGAGGGCGAGCTGAGACAGACGCTAAGAATAAACTTTGGTCACAACCCCCTGAGAAAGTTTTCAGATGAGAATCAAGATGTGGGCACAGGGGCTGAGTGGATCCAGTTTCACTCAACTTACTTCCTCTCCTCCTTGCACCTCCTTAACCCCGGCGGTATGATTTTCCACACCCGTCCTCCTCCGCACGCTACATATACTTTGTTGCGTGCATGCGGCGCCCGCTTTCGTCACAGAAATAACTCACAGAGGTCACAAAAATTCATTTATTTTGCAGTTCAACAGAACACAGCACAGTTCAACTGAGTGCACAGAACAACAACGGCAACACTTCTGTTTGATTGCAGATAAAACAAGAAAAATTGTTAAAATATTTATCAGAAATCTCATAAACCTGGTAGCACTAAGGAACAATTATAAAAACAACACTTAATCGCATTAAAAGCTCGATAAAATGCTTTTTAAACCCTTCTCATGAAATGATCTCTCACAAAACACCACTTTGTATTTATGATGCTGTTGAACACGAAGTTTCCAGTCTGGCTTTAAGACGGGACGAGTCCGATCAGGAGGCTCAGCGCTGCTTCGCTGCTTCCATGTTACAAAGGCAGATGTATTTCTTCATAGTTGGAGCCACGAAATATGAAGATGTCACCATAAGGCTCATCCTGCTCCACACGCAGCTTCCTGGCAGATAAAGATGCTACCCACCAACACAACACACACACACACATAAACGGTCACTGAAGCACAGAAAAGATCTCATGTTTTTAAAGCAAATTACTTTTCCATGAATGTACACAAGTCACCAGTATGTTTGTTCATCAGTTCATTCCTAAAGCTTCCACTAGTGACACTGTTTGTTATTTCAACCTTTATAAACTGAAGGTCACGGGCCAGGGACCGCCACAGCCTTGGCGCTGTACCATTAATACAATTTTAACATGAGTGACATGACAGTTCGATGATAAGTGAAAGTGCCTGCTTACCCAGAAGCCGCTGAAAAACATTGCTGACAGTTTTGCGGTTGACCTCGGGCGGCAAGAGGGACTGAAAAAGCAGAGGCTCTACTTCACCTTCGGCCAATTCTGGCAGCAACCTGGCAACAAACAAACCACATTCCTGTCTCCAAATCGAACTCAAACATCGGGAGACACTAAAGAGAGAGTCGTCTCTGTTTTTCTGCTGGTTATTACCGAGGTGACTCCGCGGCTACTCTCCCAGGCAACTCGTCCGACACCTCTGGGATGTCCCTCAGTGTAGAAATAGACCTGGAGAGAGTGGACCTGCCAAATGATGGGTGCACATGAGTGTGATTGCTCACACACACACACCTGCACATCAACACACACAGAGATCTTCTTTGATACTTACTTACCCTTCGGATAGATATAAGGGGGAGATCTCTCGAGACACCTCTCTCTGGTCACTGCCCTCCAGTGGCAGTGCACCCTGGGCTGGATGTATACATGTATTTTAAAATGAATGCATCTTATCGTATTTTAAAAGCCATTAGCGTTACACGCCTGACCTGACCTCTGACCTCAGGCTCACCCCATGTGAATGCACAGAAGGTTTTAGCTTGTGCCAAATAAATCTGCAATGCTAACACACTGAGGACAAAATGTTACATCCAGTTAAGCTAAAACACACACACACACACACACACACACACACACACACACACACACACACACACACACACACACACAAACCTGCTAATTTAAACCTAAAATTGTGAATTTCTACCTTTAATTCAAAGACTGTATACAAAGATGGACGTAACTATTTTTATGACACTCAGTAGTTATTCAGGTCATGTTGAAGCCTCAGCCCCTTGCTAATTACTAACCGTGGCGGATGGCTTGGAGCCTGGTTCTGCAGGAGGTTTCTTCCTGTTAAAAGGGAGTTTTTCCTTCCCACTGTTGCCAAGTGCTTGCTCATAGCGGGTCATTTGATTATTGTGGGTGTTTCTTGTTTATTTGTTTAACAAAGTTGGGTAGCTTACAGTATAAAGCACCTTGTGAGACAGTTGTTGTGAACTGGTGCTTTAAATAAAACTGAGTGTAACTGAATGTTTGTGATTTGTGGTGTGTTGAACTCATGTGTGATTAGCGAGTGGGTTGGGTGAGTGATTTAAAATTCACGACACTGCACACAGTAGCAGCATGCAAGGTAATTAGTGCTTGAGATCTTAAACCCTTCAGGAAAGTGTTTACTAAGATATCAGGATAGTGCAACTTATGGTGTCGCCCCCTGCTGGTCATGACTTCATCACTAGCTTTAGGTTTTAGAACTGGAATCCACATCCATCTTTGTATACCGGTGATAATCTTTGATAATCTTACCTGAAATATCAAGCATCTCTGATTCTGCCATTTCTCTGAGGACCTGCTTCACGCAAAGACACAAGTAATGAGTCAACAACTGTGAGTGTTTTTCCATCTCCTGCATTAAAAGCCTTTGCAGACATCCCTGCCAATCGCTGCCCACGTAACAAAACGCTTTTCCACACCTCTCTTTCGGGAACCTCGAGCATCTCACGCTCTCTCTCCCTTTCAGAATCAGTGGATTCGGGGCCTCGCTCCCCAACTTGCAGGTCCGAGCCCGAGAGGGGTGTGATGGTTGCACTCTGTCTCCATAGAAACTGAACCTCTTCAGGCAAGACTGCAGGGGAAAATAGCTTCGTGGTTTATTTTTGAAAAGGTTACTTGAGTCACACCATTAATAGAGCTGCAGCGGCCGCTGAATATAAGAAGTGAGGGGAATAAATAGAATTCAAGGTTCCACGTGAAGCTTTTACTGCAACAATTTAGAGGAGCCAGCATTAAAAATATTAGCAGTTAGATTATTAGAAGCCTGTAATTAGAAAAGAAAGGAGCTCGCAGCATAGTCCATGGCCATACTAGAAAACCAACAGTGCACAGCTCTACCTGATTTCCATCTAATGAGTAAGGTATAAAGGGGGGTGAGATTTAAACAGATGTTTCTGGGGTGACGAGAGGATGCTTTGCTCTATTTTTAGCAGCTGTGATACTGACAGGTGCAGGGCTTGTTGAAGAGATCAGCAGCAGGAAGGATCCTTTGAAAGGAAAGCGGGGCGAGGAGTGGTCGCCTCGTCTCGGTCAAAGGGTCGTCGATCTGTCGCTGCACATCGTCCTGGGAGAGCTGCGTCACCGGGTCAAAGAAGATCAGCTGCCTCCTTCTCCTCTTCCTCTTCTTCTTCTCTGGTGAAGCCACATCCTGGGGGCGAGGGAAATAGATTGACTAAAGGGGACCAGAGATTTGTAAGTTGTAGCTAATGTCTTGTTTTTATGTTATGGTTCTAGTGAAACTTACATAATCTAAAAGAGGGTTAGGGAGATTTTTCAAAAGGGGGTGGGGGTAGCAAGCCTACAAAATATTCCTCCAGTTGGTGTTAATCTTCCACCAGAATGGAAAGCTCTCAGGGAAGCTTCACACTCAGTTTTAAGACATTTCTATACCTATTCAAGACCTAAACAAAGCAAAACAGTAACTTTCCCTTTAAAACTAGAACTGTAATCTCTGAATAACTGATTCCAAAGATTTCAGCTGGTGACTATGGACTCTATACAGTCTCAGCAAAGTATCATACGCAAGCCACTTTATTAAGTACAGCCATTTAACTTCTTTTTAACACAAACATCTAATCAAATGGAAGCAACTTTGCATATTTAGAATTGGAAGCATTTATGATTCCAGGTTGGGACTGCCTAAAGACAGCACTCCACTGCTGAAACCTGGGATCTTCAGTCTAAAGCTCTCCCAACTGAGCTATTTCAGCATGTTTGGGTAAGTAGGTACAGATAATGAACAAAAAGACGTGCTGAAGTTCAATCTCAACATCAGAAAGAGGAAGAAGAGAGAGATTTAGGTGTTTTTGCCACAAAACCATCCGTAGGGTTTAAAGAGGGATGGTCAGAAAAGTAGTGATTTAATGTGGAAGATATTTTCTTTGCACGCTTTGGGCCCCTCAGAGCCTGAGCATCGTCTAAACACCGCAGCCTACGTCAGTATTGCTGCTATGTCCATTACTTTACAACCACTGTGTGCCCATCCTGCTTCCAGCAAGATAACAAAGCTGAAATCACCTTTTTTTTTAACATGACAATGGGTTTACATCTCAGTCAAACAGAGCACCGTTGGGATGTGGTGAAACAGGAGATTCACATTGTGGATGTGCAGCCATCAAATCTGCAGCAACCGAGTGATGCTATCATGTCAATCTGGACAAACTTGATTCATTATTTATTATCATTGCTAGCTGCACATATAATCTTACATGTTTGACCTTCTTAAATAGTACTGGCAGTAATGAGAGCATCACAGGGTCTACAGATTGGTGTGCGTGGGAGGGGTAAAGATACTTAATGTTCATCTGTTAGGGCAAAACCGTTTATAGCTCTTTCTGTTTTTGTTAAATACATTAAATATTTATGTCATTTAAGTAAAACCCACAAAAGCCAGCACCTCCAACTCCAGACTTCTTAGACGCCTTTCACGTTCCTTTGCTGCAGAGGGCGGAGCAGGCAGGCCGGGCACAGAGACGGGGGTGAGCTGGTCTGAGGGGGGCTTCTCTGCGGGCAGGCCTGGCTCTTCCTGAGGCAACAAAATAGCCTCCTCACTGGAAAGAGTAGTGGGCTGCAACCTGACACATGTAAAAACACACTAAGTGGATCACTGTTTGTCTGTCGTGGTATTTTCTGTTTACATAAGTGTCTCTAAGTTACTCTAGAGTGGATCCTGTGAGCTCCTTTGCTCCGTGTTTCTCCAGGTCGCCCTCTCGTTCCTCCCGTTCCACCTCTTTTTCTTGTTCCCCTGCTGCCACCTTTTCTCCCGGTATCTCCAAATCTCCTATTAGAAAAGATTATAGAGTATGTTATGTCCCATTCTACGTTTTTC